CGACGATGATGATGATGTATTGCTTGAGTTAATCCAGGTGGATCTCGCTTTTCTCCCAGTGGGACCCAGGTAGGGTCCCTGGGTCTCCGCCGACTGGTTTTTATGCTCTGGACCCCCCCCCCCCCCGCGGGGGCGGTGGGGGGGTGGGGGGGGGGGGGGGGGGGGGGGGGGGGGGGGGGGGGGGGGGGGGGGGGTTCGGGGCTACAAAACGGGGACCCCCCCCAGCCCTCTAAACCAGCCTTGAGTCAGGACTCCCTTTTATAATGGCCAGGTGATTTGCAACGCGCACCCCCTTCCTCCCTGCTACATTTGCCCCCAAAAGGCATTTTTAACAGGGTAAATTCATTCCTTCTCAGAAAGTGGGGGTTTCTTTCTCTCCCTACCCCCCACCCCCACCCAAAGGGCCTGTTTTTCATACATGGATGCTAACTGTAATATCTGGCTCCAAAAGGTCAAGGAAGAAATTATTTAACAAGCAACACATATAAGGAGACCTGTGGCACACCCAGAAAACCCTTTCTGACCCCCCCTCCCCTTGGGGGTCCCAACCCCTAGGCTGGGAAACACTGCTCAAGAAACTAGTCTGGGGTGCATTTGTGTTCCTCCTTAGGCAGCCGGCGGTTGGCCTTGAGAGCCAGCGCGAGACGGTGCTTAGTGGTCTTGGGTTCAGGCCCCCTCGGGGACGAAGCACAAGTAATGGCGACTGTGTTTGCACACACATTCCCGCTCAGTCCAGCTACTGCAGCATACCTCACAGGTTACAACACCCAAAGGAGGCCTGTCTGTGTTGGATTTAGCACCCGGGAAGGAAAAGGGTGGAAATGTTGCAACTAGTAAGGGGGTCGCTTTTACGGTTTCTGTAAAGGGACATTTTTCTGTCCCTGAAGCGGAGTTCAGACTTTGGGGTAGTAATATAAGTCTGTGGTTTTGTGAAATTTTTGCATTTTGCTTTTGATAAGGTTCAGAACTGATAGCCTGTCTTTAACCGTGGCAGTTTAACTTCCTTGAATCCTCCCTCTTGCTGAGGAAGGCATGCTGTGAAGTGGATGTAGAGCTGGCTACAACAGGGGCTTCCCTTGCACAGGGTGATTCTTAGGTTCCTCATTGATGTAGAAGGAACCAAGTCCAAATAGCTGGGTGTGAATAGATGTCAGTTCCTCAGTCTTGCTGGCTTCTCTCTGTTAATCTTTCTGGGGCTTGCTGAAAGCCTGCAGTAATTCTCTCTCTAGCCCTCCCTCCCTCTTCCCCCCCCACCCAATAATGGAACTCTGTGTTGATTCAAGAAACCAAAGTTCAGTCTAGTAGGTGAATGTCTAGCTTAGAATTGGAATTATTATTATTTTTAAGTGGGGGTCATTTTCTCTTTCTTAGAAATACAGAGCTGAACTTCAGGAAACCTGTGGGTTGACTGGTGAACTGTTTGTGTATGTGGCATGGAAAAGTATAGGAGATGTATGCAAGATGAGGGGTGGGTCTGTACCACCACCCCCTTTTCCATGAGGCTATAACCCCATCCCACCCTTTTTTTTCTTGGTGCCATTGTGAATTTAGTACTTCAACTTGCCTAACTTAAAATAAGGAGGCTTTGGGATTTAAGGGTTATAGTGTGAGGCTTTCTTCTGATGGTTTCCAGAATAAAATATATTTCAAAGATCTGGCTAACATCTTTATATGTACTGGGTGTTGAACACCTTTGACAGGTCATATTCTGTGCAGAAAGCACTACTGGAAATACATGTAAATTTTAAGTTCAAAATTGTCTCCATAGATTCTCTTACCAAAAACCAGGGGTGGTGTTACAATGGGCTAGAATTGTGTGTTCTTGTATATTCCACACGTCACATTTTTGGTTGGCCACATGAAGACTAGGGCAGCCCCTGCAGGTCCTAAAGGAAGCCCAGAGACCTCCTCTGGAGGAAAAATGGCCTACATAATGGGAGATCCCTTCTTGAGTGCCACTGCAGAGGCGCTGAGCCCCCACAAACGATGTAGGAGCGCAACACAAAAGGATATGCACCAGCCTTTCTAGTTGGAAACCAACTTCCCTCTTGACTAGGGGGACTGATCCTGAAGTCTGCTGGGACTTGAGCCTCCACCCTCAAGGTCTCTTACACTGAACAGCAGCCTCTGGGATATTGACCAGCATGCTAGCGGTGAGGCTCTGGAAGTCTCTGTGTTAGGACTTGCCTATACGCTGGGCAAGCATCACCTCTGGCACAAGGAAGACACAGCTCAAGGGTTGCAGCTACCCAGCAATGGCCTCTCTCCTTGCAGACAAACCTGCCTATCTTCAAGCTGAAAGAGTCCTGTGTGAGGCGACGATACAGTGACTTTGAGTGGTTGAAGAATGAGCTGGAGCGTGACAGTAAGGTGAGTAGGGAGGCGGGAGTGTTGCCTCCGGGGCGCAGCTTCCTCACAACCACAGCAAGGCAGACGGGCCTGTTCTTTGTTACTGTGGCCGAGAGATCCTTCGAAGCCAAAGGTAAGCAAAGGGGAGTCCTCTGGATATGGCAGGCTGGGGTTCCCAGCATTCCTCTCCCTTGGCTCTGGTTGCCCAGCCTGATGGGTGTCGCTGTTGAAGAAGGCCTGGAAGGCCCACGCCTTTGCCCACTCCTGTTCTGAACTCTTCTCTGCTGGACGGGCAGAGGGCACCAACCCTCCCTGACGCGATGCTCTCTGCTTCCAGATTGTAGTGCCTCCACTGCCGGGGAAAGCCTTGAAACGCCAGCTCCCTTTCCGAGGAGACGAGGGCATCTTTGAGGAGTCCTTCATAGAAGAAAGAAGACAGGGCTTAGAACAGTTCATAAACAAGTAAGAGAGATCTTTGCTGCTACTGTTTTGACGGAAGGGGAAGGTTCTGGGAGGGAGAGGGGCATGTCATACCACAGTGCAGGTGAAATACTTTACAGAACAGGTAGTGTCCACCACCTCCATCTTCCCTAAAGAGCACAGTGCTGGCATGCCTGTGTACCTTTCCATTCTCTTCATATGATGGGTGGGTGACTAAAGGGGATGGGTTCTCCACAGCATAGAGTGGTGTGTCTCTCCCATCCCTGCCCGTGGAGGCACCCTTCCTCTGCTGCTGCTGCCGGCAACCCCAGGCATCATCTTTACCAGGCTTAAACTGGTCACTTTCTTTCTCGAAGAAAATGGGAGGGTGGGTGGGACACGTGCTTAGACCTGTGGGGGATTTTCAACATCATTATAATTTGTGTGGCCCTTACTGACACAGGACTCTGAAATCAGCTGGATATCTCAAAATCTTTCCCCTCCCACAGAAGCCTAATCCACCGAACACCCAACACAGAAGCCGTTTGCAACTTTTCCCACTTTCTGCCTGACTCACATCCGTCTGCTAGTCTAAGCACTTTTTTGATGGCTCAGGCTCTTGCTCCTCCCCTCCCCCTCCCTGGCCCCACTTCTGGCACCCGGGAAGGAAGGCTTTGCCTGCTTCTTAAGCCACATGAAACTGTGATTCAGCAGCCAGTCTCTGAACATGCTTTTCTGACCGATAAGTATTAGGATTTGGTCTATGCCTTGCATTGCCAAAGTAAAGTTCTAAGAGGTATTTGTTGCAGGATAGACGGCCTAGGACGCGTCTACTAGTAGAAAACTGGTTTGCTGGTAGCAGGAATATTCTGAAGGATCCCCAAATTCAGTCGTCATGAAAAACACACTGCCCAGGCAGACTCTGTCTCTTCTGTGGTTTCTGATTCTCATGTTTGCCTTCTGGGAGCATCTGGAAACTCTGTTGCACATCACAGGTTCAAAGAGGAGATACCTGCCAGGCTTGCTTCTTGGGCAAAATGCAGATCCGGTCTCTGACTTTACGCAGTGTTTTATTTTGTAGAGCCACCCGACCGTCCAGAGTCCAGGAGGAAATGCTTCCCCTCCCTAGGAACTTTCTGTGCCTCCTGGTAAACACTGGAGAGGCAGAAAAGGTGGCAAACACAAATGCTCAATGGCTGCTTAGTTGTGGGTACAATTGGATCAGCCCAGAGGTAGCAGTCTGTTAACGCCACTATTTCTCCCTTCTTCCTGGCAGAATCGCTGGACACCCGCTGGCACAGAACGAGCGCTGCTTACACATGTTCTTACAAGAGGAGATCATTGATAGGAATTATGTCCCAGGAAAAGTCCGCCAGTAGGGGAGTCTGGTGTCCTCCATTTTCCTCTCCCCCCTGCAAAAATGACATTTATTTTTACACTGTCTCTTCCAAACCAGCTTTTTTCTCTCTGAACTTCTCCACTTGTCCGGTGTAACCCGCCACACAGTCCCCTTCCCTCCCTGCCCTCCCTTGTCAGGCAGCAGTGTTGAGTTCTGTTGGTCTTTGGTCTCTGCGTAGAAGGTGCGAAGCAGTGAAGAAATGTACCTGTGGTTCAGAGGTTGCTGGGAAACAGGGTAAGGTTTGCAGCCTGCTTCCGGGTTGTCCGTCTCTTTCGGCAAGGATGTGGAAAGCTTTTGAGCCCATGCATGTGTATCTAAGGAGATGGCCTTTTGAGCGTTCTGCCTCAGCTGCTGTGGAAATTGTACAGTCCATTCACATATGTGTCCTTCACCCGAGAATGGTTAAAAGTGAGACTGGAAAGCCACAGGCTTCTCTCCCCTACCTGGTGGATCTGGCAGAGCAGACATAGCTTGAAAACTGCTTTTAGCAAGCAGCATATTCCTTTGTGGGAATTGACAAGTGGTTGTTGAGCTTGGATCCAGACTTTTATGTCCCCACTGATATGTTTCCAAGTTTTAGCTGCTATCCTATCCTAAGGATCTTTTAAGTTTCTGGAGAGGAGGAAGCAGGCAGGACGTCCTGTTTGAAGTACATGGCACCTTGGGTAGTTGCTACTTCCACGAATTAGGAGACTTCTCAAATGAATAGGCAAAACAGTTTGGTTCTTCAGAAGTGGAATCCTGTTGAGTGCTCGCCAGAGGAAGCCTCCCGGGATTCCCGGGCTGATTCTTGTTTGCAAAGGCTGCAGGGCCGTGTTTCTCCAGGCAAGTGGAGAATTTGGTGATTTAGAACCTTGTAAAGTGTAACGAGTAGCCTAGGCTTCAAGATACTCAGCAGGTCATTACTAATATGACTGAGAGAAGCCTTCCTCTGGGCTCAGGCCTGTATCCCCCTAAGGTCACCGTGCAAAGTCCTCTGTAATATGTTTAATATTTAATTTCTTGGGAAGTTCTATGGAAGGATGGGTTCCAAGGGGAAAGGGGCATTTCGGTTGATTTGAACAAAGGACTGTCTTAGTTCTCCAAGCTGTGTTTTGCATGTGTACATGGGAAGGGTGAGTATGGGGTAGCTTCAAAGTTTTCCATTCTGCACCTTCCACTACTTTGAGTGGGTCGGAAAGCATGTCATGGAGGGGAGAAATTGTACATGCAATCCTGCATATGTTTTTTTTTTGGGGGGGGGCTAGATGTAGTACCAGCACTGCCCATCTGTGGGATAAGTGGATAGCAGAAAACACTCTCCTGGGCTGCCAAAGCAACTATTTTGAAGAGGTTGTCTGCCCCAAGGAACTATCCCCCACTGCTTGGAGAGGTACTAACCTTCCTGTTTGAAGCAGTCTTGCTGCTGCCTGATGAACCTCCTTCTTCAGCTATGGGTTTTTAAAACCCCTTCCTTTATTTGGTGCACAGCTCTGAAGATCAAAGGCTCTTGCTGCTGTACATATATATATTCCAATGTGGGGCTTTATAATTCAGCAAACTTCGTCTTCAGTTGACTGTCTAATGTAATGTCCAAGACTTGTTCATATTAAACCACTGTGAAGCCATTGTTGTCTTGTGCTGTTTCATTGATCGGACGTGCCAGTCCTGTTCGTATGAACCGTAGAAAGAAGTCAGTGCTCTCCAATATGTCAGATCTCTGATTTGGGTCACATTTTGAGGCTGGGTTTACCACGCCTTTCTTCCAAAATAAGCCCTCTTTTGCTTCTGCATTCTGTGCCGTTGCTAGCTTCCTGACCGAGTCTGGTGTCTTTTCCCTCCCTCCTTTTTCTGGTAGAAAAGAAAGAATACATTCTTCTAGTGGCAGTTGTTTTGATGGTAAAGGCCAAACTATGTCTTGGCGTAACTTTTTGCAAGCTATTCAGTGCTGAATTCTGTCAAACGTATATCAAAGGGTGTCTGGTGCGCAGAGCTGCAGTGGGGTCACCTCGAGAGTCAGTGACAGGGCTCTGTGCTGCAGTGAGTGAAACCCAAGGGGTTGTCATTGGAATAGTGAAGGAAGGAATGTGTCACGTTCCCGGGGGTTACAATAGCCGAAGTCCGATAAACCAGTCCAAGGTCAGAGATACCAAGAATGCAAAGCCAGAGTCCCGAAACAAACTTACAGAGTGCAGTCCAAAGTCAAAGTCCAGGGTCAGATACACAGTCAGAGTCCAGAGTTCAGAGTACGTAGTCCAGGGCCAAGGTCCAAAGTCTAATACCAGCACAGTCCAGGGTCAAGGTCCAGAGTTCAGGAACAAGAGACGTGGATGCCAGCCAAGGTTTTGACTCCTTGCTTGAGCTGTTGGAAAGCTCTCTATTCTGCTGGTACTCAGGACTAGGTGAACGCAGGTCCCTGTGGAAAGCCTTCGAGCGATCCTCTGCTCTTCTTGCCCTGAGTCTTTCGGAAGTCTGCCCCGAAGCCTGTCTGCTGTGGAGGGAGAACCTGGAGGCTGCTCAGCTGTTTCCGATCTCTCCACATTCTCCTCAGCCACAGTTAACCCTTCCGGGTCCAGATCTTCGGAAGCACTCATGACACAATGCAATGCTTATATGGCTCTTGGGCGTTTCTCCCTAACAATATTTATTTGGAAGACAAGCAAACACAAGATCAGAGGTTTATAGAGGAGCTCAATTCCCAATTTGATACAGTATATGCCATTGCTTCCCAGAAGTAAATCACAACTAGAGTAGGCCCATTGAATCAGTGGAATCTATAGGGGTCTTGGCTCATCAGATCCCCACTGACTCAATGGATCTAACTCTGCCCCTGGCTTAATACTTTACATCAGGTGTGTGTGTTATATCAGCTTGTGTGTGTGTGTGTGTGTGTGTGTGTGTGTGTGTGTGTTTATCCTTCATAGTGTTGAATAGCTGAAGCTCAACCAAAAAAAAAAGGCCCACTTTCTAGGCAAAAAACTAAATCTGACTCAAACAACGTGAGAAACTTAAATCTTCTCGGAATGTGGTGGAATAGCTAAGCGCCCGCGGGACGTTTGTTCCGGGCAGCCTACTGTCCGAGGTGGTACACTCCGCCGAACCCCCCCCTCCAAGAGTCCAGAAGTGGTATAGCCCCTCTGGATCGGTCGGCAACCGACCCGCCCACCTCCTCTTTTCCGGCCCTCCCATAGGTAATCCCGGGTGACAGTCCCGCCGTGCAACGGGAAAAGAGGAGCCAGCAGGCACTTTCATTGGCCCGTCTTCAGCACGTGAGGCCGCTCCCTGCCAGAGAAGCCTCGGTGCTGATTGGGGAACAGCCGGAGGAGGAACCCGAAGGGTCGAGGGAGGGAGAGAGAGAGAGAGAGAGACAGAAGCGCCGGCGCGAGCTCCCTTGGGGGCGGGGCCTCGGCCAATGGCAAGGAGGGCGCGGAGTATAAAAGCCGCTCTGAGGGAAAGGCCCGGCTTGGCGTCTCCGAGCATGGACGGGGCTCGGGCTTCTCTGGGGGGTCATCCCGGCCGGGAGGCCTCGAAGGAGGAGGGCCGCCTCAGCCCCGCGGGCC